TAGTATTTTATTAATATTCTTGAATGTTTACAGTAATGATGGTAATCAATTTTCTTGAAGTGAAGATTGCAGTTTGCAAGTGAGTACCTAGTCAACCAATGTTCTGTGTATACTTCGCATTATACAGTATTCTTTTTTATATGCTACACCTCGGACGAAGCTTCTTTCTTCTGAAAAACAAACACTGCACAGACAATCCGCAGTTCTTTCATCCCTCCTCTAGCTGTTGTGAAGGATTTATAATGGGTTTGCTGTTGAGCTGTAACAGTTCTTATCTTATCACCACAAACATTAATGTTGTCATATCTCAGTTCACAATATGCAGCTGCCAAATGAGAAAATATGCAGCTTACAGTATAATGAATTCTTTCCTTCTGACTTATTTTCCTGGACACAGACATGTATAGTATGTGTAGAAAAAAATAAGAGTAACCTAAGACAGGTGCACCATACACCATTTTATCATTTCCAGACAATCATTCAGTTAGGGAATGAAAATATATTATTTTTATGAGGTACATGCCATACCAGTAAGCAATATAAAATATTATAAAAATTCAGACCAGGAAACACCAGGAAAAACTTGATTGTCCAAAATGCATGTTTTATCCCAATAAGAACAGTTTCAACTGAATGATTTCTCCTTGAATCATATAGAAGAAATAAAAAAAAATAACAATGCCAACTCCCTTTTTTAAACCACTCTGGAAATGCAATGTTAGGTTGTGTTTCATGAAAATTTTAATTCACTGGAGTGTCTATTTTTTGTAAAAAATGCTTAAAACATTAGTGACCAAACTCATTCCAGCTATAGGGTGATATCAGATGGAAAATTGTATATTTTGAGGTGTTTGCATAAACCTTATAGATTGTGCTATTATTTCTGCTATACCCTTCTGTTATATGCACACTTCTTACAGCTGTGCCTGCCACTTGCACCAATGTTGTTTTGAATGAAACAACAGGATGAATGTCTGCTTTTACATCCATGTCACCTTTTATTCACAGCTAGACAAATCAAGAGGATGTCATTCAGTCCACCTAGCTCATTTGGTTGCTAATAATTAAGCAATTTGAGGATCTCATTTCATGAAATGGCTTTTAAAACATGGCTAGGTAGCTTGTTTTTGACACCCACAACGCTTTAAGTTCCATAGTGTCATTCTGCTTTCTCCCATCAGCTCTCTTATATTTCATTTGGTATTTTCAGCCACGTTCACGACTGAGGCCAGTTTTCAAATGCGCCGGTGTTTGCAGTTGATTTATTGGTGTTCATCTGTGGAAGGCCTCCCTGGGGAGAAGCTGCTCTTTGTTCACTCTATCTCTCTGCGTAAAACTGGCATCAGAGGAAAGTCTTAAAGACCAGCCGAGGTGTAGAGAGTATCTGAAAAAGCAATGAGTTTATTGTAAAAAGCTGAGTGAAGAGTATTTCCCAGCATCATAAGAATCAAGATAGAGACTCTTCAATTTTTATTCAATTTCTGGAAATGTGCTTTTGAGGACTTGTGTGATGAGATGGGGGAGAGAGATGCTACATGTTGCAAAACACAATGAACAACACTTGCAAACAAAAGATGAAAACAATGCCACTGCATCTAATAGCCTCATGCCCCTCACCTGGAAGATTCTGTAGTAAGTTGTACGGACTATAAGTATAAGTTGTACTTATAACTGTGGCATGAGTCCTAGCCATGTCAGACAGAGTAGCAGGAAAGTAACACTGAAGACTCGGTTGTGTCCTGGTTTTCTAAATACTAGGATTAGGGGTATGTAATATGTTGAGAAAAATAGAAGCAAGCTGTTAAGCATGCCCTACATATTTTTGCAGCAGTGCAGAAATTAGGAGACACAGAGAGAAATGCAGAAAAAGAGAGAGACAGATGGTAAGTAAGTTTAATGAGAGGGAATAACTGACATACAGTAGGAGTACTTTGCACCATAAAACAATATAGTACAAAGCAATGTCAAACAGTAAAAGTAAAAAAATAAAGCTCTTCTAATTCTGCTCTCCTTACTGTCCCCAAAGCCCGTCTACATTGTATGGGTGACAGGGCCTTCTCCTGTTATGCCCCCAAGCTCTGGAACTCTCTCCCCAAGGACATCAGAGTCTCACCTTCTCTAAACTCATTCAAATCCAGACTCAAAACCCTCTTCTTTAGAAAAGCCTTTACTTAACTGGTTCCATTCTTCACCCCTCTGCTTTTCTTAGTACCACCATCCATGTCTCCTCTGTATATTGTAATTGTGTGTTATCTTGTGTATTCTTTTTATTTTTTGTTGTTGTCATCCTTTAAAGTGCTTTGAGAAGCCACCTTTAAAGGCACTATATAAAATAAAGTTTTTTTATTATTATTATTATTATAAAGCCGATCCATACCCCTTTGTCACTAAGAACAAATTGTGTTTTGATACGTTGGGTAATAAAATATATACTCTTAAATGTACTGTATTACAAAGCTAGTTTTAAATACAGCTGAATACACGAGTGCTGTATATTCTGTTTTTTTTAGAATCAAGCTTTTGCTCTATTTGATGCTGTGCTAATTTAAATTGGTGACACAGACAAGACAGCTTTAAAGGTGAGTTTGGCTGCGGACAGTCACAAGCCTTACAAGACTCTTGGCAACGAGGCTGTCTGCTGTGTTGTCTGTCATGGTTTGAATGCTTTTAGAAATTCTGATTTCACAGGGCTTATTTTGTCTTCCTCGTAGCTGTTGAATTCTGAACTAGCTAGAACAGGCACAGCAATGAGAAAGTTCACAAAGACATATGCCCCAGAGAAACCATTTCTGGAGGACATAAAACAGGCCTGTCTCAGCATCAGGACCAACAGTGCATCTTCACTCTTTTGCAGGCAGCTCAAGAGATGCCTGGAAAAATCCTTGGTAGATGCCTGAATACCATGGGATAAAAATAACATTTAAATGAAAAACTCACATTTATGAATGTGAGCATTATGAATAAAAAAACACAACAAAGTCTTAATTAACTCACATTGTTAAGAACGTCACTGGCAATCAAAAAACAGTTTCTAATTTCATGTTTTAGTGAAAACATTAAGGAGAGTTTATATAAAGAGAGCTGAAAGTTTTAAAATTCTTTGACATCCAACACTTAGTATTAGCAGCCGATGATTGCAGGGATGCCCCAATAGCTGTATTATAAATATATTCATGCAGTTGATTGTCTCCAGATTACTGATGAAAGCTACTTTATTTCTAGAAGTTTAGTTTGAGACACAGCAGAGCAACTGGTAGAAAGGGGTAGTGTTTGTTAATTTTGAAAGATAACAGATGTGTGGTACTGTTTTTGTTACACTGAATTCTCAGAATAATTCACAGATCTTGCAGGAGTCATGGAGCCCCATGCCATTCAGTCTTGCCCAGCACAGTGTCCTTGCCTTTCTTTCACAAACTGATAGCTGTATTCTCCTAAAGACTTTCACCTCCATCACTGTTGGGTTAGAGGTTTGAACATATTGTACCATAAAAGTAGGTGTTCTGTAAGGCATGCCAGGAAATTTATAATTAAACCATACAAGCAATGGGAACAAGGGTTCATTTATTATAACAAGGCTTTGCTGCTAGATGTGTTGAGGAAGCCGTGGCATGCTAATTGCTGGATCCTAGCTGATAAAGGGACCCTCAAATAAAGAAATGCTGAAGAATGGCTTTGCTGAATGTTTAAATAATTCCTTAACCATGTTATGATCACTCTCTGACAAATTTTCATACACAGAGCTCTCTGCAGTATTTTGCAACTTCCACATGTATATCGGTTTTTCAGCTACATTTACTGTATTTGCTTTTGTATTTCTTAAATGCTACGTTGTCAGCTCAGAATATCCTTAAAAAATTCTCTCTCCCTCTCTGTCTAAAGTTAGTCTTATACAAATCCAGAAGTACTGACACAGAAAAAGATCACATTTCCTTTCTTAGTTTTCTTTTCACTGTATTAGCTATTTTAATAAACTATATCTGCTGGACTTTCGGTGGTTGATCACAAGTTGCACCATGTCTTTATAATGTGAGCTGAAGAGTGTTTAAATATATATTGAAACAATCAGCACAGCCTTTCCTGAACTGTCAGACACTCAGGATCTCTTCTACCCTTCGGTTAGATAGACGGCAATGCCACCGGGGATGACTGACTGGCTGATTTATTGATCAATCTGAAAGCGCATTATGGAATTACTCATGTTGTTTATTCATCTAGTCAGAACATTCCACACAGACCTATCCCTGCCTGTAACTGCTTCATCCAATTTAAGTGCAAGGTGGGACACAACCTGGACAGGAGGCCAGTTCATCGCAAGGCACACTCACACCAGGGCCACATAAGCCAACTAACCTACCTCTATGTCTACACATGAATGTGGGGTGAGCATACAGTACAAACTCCAAGCAGACTGCATCCAAGTCGAGAATTGAACCCAAGACCCCAGCGCAGCAAGGCAGCAATGAAAATCACTGTGCCACTGTGCCGCCTGCCTTTTATTCATAATATAGCAAATGTTTTATTGTTTCATGCTCTGGTTCTCACTAATTGCTCATCCACCTTCAGCACAATTATCTCCTCCATATAAATATAAAGACACCTAATGGAAACAATCCCAGGAAATGTATAGTTATGAAGAGTATTTGCATTGTCTTTCATACCTTGGCAAATAACTGGTCTATCTGAAAAGATAAATGTTTCCTCTTGTAAATTATATTGACTAGTCTATCTAATCCATTCAGATATACACAGTATAAAGTGTAAAGTAATTTCCTGGGGAAAACTGAACATGTTTTACCTCTTTCATGGTAACATCTTTTGTCAGGAAAACTATGCTAGTGATTAATTAGAGAGGAAGGGAATTTTGTTGAAGGTGGTCTTACAAATTTAGTAAAATATTCCTCTTTGTAATCTTTCATTGTTTAAAGAGGATATTTTTTTTTATTCTTTCAGATAACCTACTATGTGATAATTTCATGTGATAATTTTGCATTTTTGTTCAGGTTCACCGAATTCCTGGAGCCTTTCGAGAGAGTTATCCAACCTGAAGAGCTCTGGCTGTACAAGAACCCCCTTGTGGAGTCTGACCACATACCAAAGAGAGTGATGTTCGTAAGTATAAATCCATAATCATTGGTACTATCATCAAAACCAGTAGAATAGTACTGCTACTGATACAGCTAATAAGGATGAAAATAATTTAAGTTTTTTTTATGGTAATTTTTAAGCCTGAATTTCTCCTACTGAATTACTTTTAAGCCTCTGTACGGTATATGTACTGTAAGAAACAAAAACACTCTTCAGCAATTTATTACCTACAAGGACTTTGGAGACTGCATCTCATGTGTATGTGTTTATTCACATTATATGAGTTCTTCTCTGAATGAATCCCTTTATAGTGTGAAGGTAACATTAAATCCACTGAAAACCTCTCTAATAAGACAAATCCACAGTGTAGAATTCATTTCCAGCACTGAAGTATATTGTAAAACCTTGCTCTTTCCAACAGTGTAATTTCAGGAGGAAACTAATATACAGCACATAAAGTAATTTCATTAGTAGGGCAAAATGGTGCTATGGCAATTTGCACTGCTGCCTCACAGTTCTTATGTCGTAGGTCCCAACCTGAAGTGTCTTCTGTGTTCAGTTTGCAATGTTTTTTTCAAGGTTTGTGTAGATTTTCTCCAAGTGCTCCAATTTCACAAAGACATGCTGGCAATGTTATCAGTATCTTCATTTGTTGCTATGTATGTGTGAGATGGACTGGTATCCTGTGCAGGATGAAGCCCTCCCTTGTGCTCTAAACGTCCCATATAGTCTGAAAAGCAACAGGTAAAGGTTTATTTCATGCTGAAAGGAAAAGTAAAGTGACACAATGTTTTGGTTGTGGAGCCTTCTTCAGCTGTGATTCAGGTGTGGAGACTGATTCCCATATTCTCCCCAGGTTGCTCTGATCCACATGAGGAATGAGTCACTTTCTGATAAGGGATTGGTACGGTATTTGTCAGTAGTATTTTTTCCTAGGTAAAAATGGAGCTGATTTCTCCCCTTTCATGCTACAATTCTCTCACTAGGGTTCCAGAACACAAAAACAAGAATGAATACAAACGTTGCCATTAGCACCATCTACCCATTTGATAGTTAGTACTGTAGGTAAAATTTTCTAACTTCTGTGTTAGCTGGAGAAGTGGTACAGCTAATAATGACAACCCTCAACATGTGACTCTCAGGTTCTCCAGTCCTGCCCATTTTCTGTCAATGAAAGAAAATTCCAAACACAGCATCCAATTTCACTTGGAAAGTTTTGTGTTAATTATTTTTCCCAAAATCTGTATGATATGTAGAAGTCATTGTTTTTGTACACTGTTGTACAAAAGCCCAAAACATCTTGTTTACAATAAAGGGTTGCAATTGTATGTACTGTATGTTATGAGCATCAAATGTTTATTCATATCCTCTACCAGTGTTTTCTATTATTATAACAACTTTGACTGTTATTAATAGAGTTTAGTTGAGGAGAGAAGAAACCAAGCTTGCAATTTAACAATCTTCAATTACCACTGATTACAATCTTCAAAAACCTGTTTATTGAAGTACTTCTACTTTTACCTACTTTTCCCTACTTTTCCCTACAGTAGTAATCCATCACATTTACCAATCAAATCAAGTTTCAATGATTCCTTATCTTTGTTTCCTTCCTACAGTACACATCCATACAACAAAAAGACTACTTTTGGGCTACAAAACATGGATCTATCAGGATTTATGGATTTAGTGTTATCTGAAAACCAAATCAGTAAAATGCCTGTTGAAAGTCACCACAAAATTGTGTTTATGTATAAAGAAGGAAAAGCACTGAATGTAAAGAACAGATAATGCTGAATGTCTATATCTTTTGCAAAGGTGTGTACCGTGTGGAGTGTGTATAGATTATGTTTTTCTATCTATATGAATTCTGGACTATTTCAGCTCTCCAGAAAAACCAAGCCTTTCCTTTAGCAAACAATTCCTCTGAGAACAATGTGAATGTTGAAATGTTGACCATGGAACCTTTTCCATAGAAGCTCCATTATTCGTATCAGATAATAACTAATGGCTGTGGACTTGTATCTCCACACGCACAATGGTACACTAGAAATAAGGACTGCGAGTTGGACTAGCCAATTCAGTACAAAATGTGCTTATAGTTCATAATCTGTAGGTCCTTTAAACTGCTTTAGATAGATACTTTATTGATCCCGTGAGGGAAATTGCAGTGCAACAGCAGCTTATAAAACACAATTGTTTTATAAAACACAATGGATGCCTCATTCTTGTCAGGGTCCATATAAGTGTTTTAGGCACTAATAAAAACAAAAAAGCAGATATAATAAGCTACAGCACAATAACTAAGCTCACCCATCATTAGTGTTCTGCATTTTTGCTGTCAAATTTTTTTGCCACAAGAAGCTCCTTTAGAATTATCTTTGGCCAATTATGTTTCCCCAATAAAAACAGTAGAGTTCTGTTAATGAGTAAACAAGGCTGGAGTTGAGTTTTACATGACACCACAGAGAGTTTATAAATGATTTCTATCAGTTATCCTTGTCTTTCAGTTCTGCAGTTTGCTAACTATGTGTACATGGTTACGCATTTATTTTCACCTACTGCTGAATGAGACATTCAGCTGTTTTCTTTACAGAACAAAGAAGTATGTGGTGTGCATTAATCATCACCGATATTTTAGATAAATTTGTTAAAGAATGAATTGAAAACATTCTGTATCAATATGGCAATGGATATGTTTTGCTAAACAGTGGTCCGGTGACAGTTCAGTGACATCTCATTGCTTTTTAATTATATGTTATTGTAAAATAAATCTTGATCTTGGTGTATGAAATTGATGCTCTCAGAAGGACACATCTCTAAATCACAATGTCTTTACTTACAGGGAATGGACAGGAACACATTTTTAAAAGACCAATGAGTGTCCTTAAAATGGACAGTAACTCTGTTCCAGATGTTGCAAGGTCGAATACAGGTCTTGTCTTTGACTGGGATTCTCCAAGCAATAGCACACAATTGCCCCAGCACTGCCAGAGAGATGGGTGGGGATTAGTGATTAGCACTTCAGAAGTGTAATTTAACTAATTTCTTTTTGTTAAATAATGAGCTGCATTCTCCTGCAATGCATGGTTTGACATGAACTGGGTCTAAATCAGCAATGAAAATAGTGGAAGTGCAGGTTGCAAATGAACATGTTTATAGTTGCTTGTGACATGCTTTGAAGGTACATGCAATATGTAGAACATATTGTACACTTACATTTGAAATCCAGAAATTCTGTTAAAAACCCACAAATAATCTGAAATTTAACAACATGTGAGAGTTGGCAAAAGCAAAGTGTCATGGCTAAAGTTCAGTAAACAACTCAAGACTCAAAGCAATTAATGCACACAGGTCACTGATCAGTCAATAAACCAGAGAAATCAGCCAGTGAACGTGAGGTTCTGTTCAATAGAGGGCTTGTCCAGGGAGCAAAATAATAATTGTTGCAGCAACTTCTGAAAGTCTTGTTTAAGTCTAAAATATTGTGACCTACTGTCTAAACAACATTATTCTATAGATGCCAGGCTGGCAGTGGCAGAGAGACATTTGTGTAATTATTGTTCAACATTGCTGATCTGCCCAGGGACAGGATGTGATTGATTGTCAATTAAACACTTTCTTGTTGTGTTGTCTGAATTTTTCCCAGTTCTAACGTGTCTCTATTATGTACATAGGCAATTTCCTTTCTTACTCCCCTGGCAGTAATTTTTGTGGTGAAAATCATCCGTCGGACAGATAAAACAGAAATCAAAGAAGCTTGCCTAGGTACAGTATATGAATCGCTAAATTATATCTATTTTGTTGTTTTTAAAGTATTTTGTTTTCTGTCATTTCTAAAATACCAACACCATGCTTCAGTGGATATTATTTCAGGTACACAAAGTTATTGCCTTTGAAGAAAACAGAAAATAATGAACCTTTAAGTACACTTTATGGAGGAAAACATGGTTCATTTATCCTAATTGGCTTGAAAATTCTTTGCATTTAACACATACCACGAAAGGAGTGTACAAAATAAGCCACTGTAAAAAAAAGTAACAAAATCCATTTAGAAGAAAGTAAAAGAATCAAGGATGCTCACTCTTTGAAATTCAAGGTAAATGCTTCAAATATTTCTGTTTCCATTCAAAAGTAATTTGAATTGGTCAATGGGATGACAACAAGCTGATTAAATGAGACATGTCTCAGTCCAGTCTTTGTGTCTAACCAGAAGCTACTCACTACTGTTCTGCGCAGCAGTCAAGCCTTTGAAATACTGTAATTCTTCACAGTTTCAAGGCAGACAATTCTTAACAGACTTCCAACACCCAATAATGACAAATTGTTTATTAATGAAGAATCTCACTGGCTTGTTTTCAACACACATTAGCTGCTTTCTGATATTTTTTATGTTATTTCAAAATAATTGTTGGTTAAAGTTGGTTAATTGTAAGTGTGAACATTTTCCACAAAAAAAATAAAAATTTAAAATAAGGCATAAAACATATAGGAAAATGCAACTCTTTTGTGTGAGCTCCATACTGTATACAGTCCATACAAAAATACTTGTGTGCATTCTTTAATTTGTTTTGTGGAGCCCATATGTCTGATTTAATCAGTGGTTTCTTTTATGTAAGGTGGCTAGAGGGATATGCATTAAGTTTTATATACTTAACTGTGATATACTTTACTGTACTGTATGTCAGAACAACATGCCTAAGCATTATCTACTATTACAACATTTTAAAATGGAATTTTCATCTAAATGCAAGGATTACATTGAGATTGAGGTCCAATTATGGATTAATTAATTGAATAAATATTAATTCTATTCTATATATTTATTGAGAGCAATAAGTCAAAAATAAGTACAATATACTGAGTGCTTTAAATTTGAACACTTAAGTACTAGAATCCTTTTGACACCATTTATTCCAAAGGGAAATTTTGTAGTGCTCTCTGCTCTCTAAAGAATGATGAAGCACTGGTTTAATGTTGCTGAAAAATGGAACCTGTTCTTCACTAATGTTCTGGGACTCTTTACTTCTCCTATCTAACTCATAAAAATCCTGGTTGCTTTTCTTCCAGCTGTTTCCCTGGCTCTTGCCCTGAATGGCGTCTTTACAAACACAATTAAATTGATAGTGGGAAGGTAAGCTGTTCAGATTCTCATTAGAACATTTTATTACATGGACAACAAATAGGCTTGCTGAAGTCTGATCATTCAAATGTGTTATGTTATTATTATTATTATCATTATTATTAGTATTGGTATTAGTAGTAGTAGTAGTAGCAGTTATTTTTGTTGAAAATGATACACATTTATGATTCATGATTTCAACTGGAATGATCAAGATTGAAAAAAATGAATAATATGCCAATAATATGCAAAAAAAGAATGTGCAAAGCAGGATGTTTAAAGCTGCTATTGTAAAGTCTTTGTTTATACATTTAAATATCTTTAAAATAAGGAATTCTATCATGCAAAAACAAAAGCACCAATAGCTTTGCATTTAAAACAAAAGTGTTGATTCTGCAACTTTTAAATATATAATATTCACACTAAAAACTGCTCAGAACAATCTCAACTTTCCCTGCAGTGTTGAAGCACAATGGCAAAAAGAGTCAATACCTTTTAAATTTAAAAATCTGCCAGCAGAATGCTGGAATGTGACTTCAGTCATGTACATGCATATGTCATGTCATACGTATGACCATTGTCTTGATAGAAATTATAAATAATTACAGACAATGAACCAGGGATGTAGAAATGTGTCCACTTGTGGACAGATCAGCACAAAAAATGTTTAATCTGAGCTAGAAATTTACATGGATCCCATTGCTGAGCTTCAACTATGAATTTCTCTGTTGCTCCCATTTAGACCTCGTCCAGACTATTTTCACCGCTGCTTCCCAGACGGACAGGTCAACGCCAAGATGCTGTGCACTGGGGAGCCAGATATGGTATCGGAGGGACGCAAGAGCTTTCCCAGCAGCCACTCCTCCTGTAAGTCCTTCCCAGCATACCTCAGCACCAAAGCAATGCTTTAATAAAATTAAAACACATAGGGAAATTCCACTATAGAGAGCAGCCAGAGACACATACTGTACTTAGAACATCACAAAAACTGCAGGAAATTAAAGTGCATAGTGCTGTCATAGTCTACACCAGCCTACTTTTAGGACTGGTCTGTGAAGTTTGCTGCACACAGGGAAGCACGTATGAGTCCCACCTCACAGCAGTTTCACATTTTGATTCCACACACTTTTCAATACAAATGTCAGCAGAATAAAATAATATACTTTTGGAAATATGCACCTCCTGGTGTTGAATCATAGAAGTTATAAAACTTATCTAGAAATAGAATTCTCATCTATTGCCCTGATATGGGGCAAGGTTTAGAGAAAAATCTGCAATCACAGAGTCAAACACAGTGTGTAAGTAAAGCTATAGTACTGTATATGCTCTGATATACAAAAATCTAATCTAACAATATATTTTATGATTTACCACTATACAGTATATAATGGACTTTTTTAAACAGATGTTCAGAAGGTGGTAGAACATTAATCTTGCCCATTTATGATTTCCCACACATATATATCTCACCTCCAGAGCATCCTTTTGCACATCTTTCTCACATTTGGCATTTTTTACCAGTGACACAATTTAACTCCCAGTGCTCTGTTTCTGATCTTTACCTATTGTAGTACATGCACATCACCCATTCTCATTTTTTTGGCACTGAGTTACTCCAAATTAATTTTCAATACTCTGTAACTATAGGTTTCATGATTTCAACAAATTAATTAGAATCTGAATGAAATACTGAAGTTAAACGTATGTGGTGCAGCCAGCAGCCATATCACCCTGCACCTCACAACTGGAAACCCACTGAAGCTGAGTGGGTGTGAGCCTGGTCATTACCTGGATTAGAGACCTCCTGGGAAAAACTCAAGGTTGCTGCTGGAAGTGATCTTAGTAGGGCCAGTAGGGAGTCCACACCTCATGATCTGTGTGAGTCCAAATCCTTGTGAATATTCTCCAAACTGAATACAGTGCAGTCCACTGTATGAGACAAAGAAGCAATGAGAACAGCATTTACATCATGACATTTTCATAAAGGAAACCACTGCCTGTGGTGTCCTTTTACTTACCAAGCAGACCAGCAAATAAACACATTTTATGAAATAGACTCTTGGCACTGAGTTTTCAAGCCACACCTTTTCATAAATGCAAGACAGAATTCATATTCTTTCAAATCCAGATATAGCTGGTGCCTATAACCTGCCAAGAACTTTTAGAATTTATAGATACTCAATTCAAGCAGAGTATCAAGTATCAAAATCAGAACTAGTCAGGGAAAGCTTTTCTTTTGAAAAATATTTATTATTTAGTGTACACTCTTTTCTCATTATTACACTGTTTCTGGTCAATATATGTATTTCATTTCACCAGCAGATGAAGAAATGTGATTTGGTGCCCCAAAGTTATAAAATACTGATCTGCAGAAATTTGCAGAGAAGCAGCTTGCTGTTTTCCCATGACTGGGTTGGTCTGGAGGTTTGTTTTTTTATACAGTGTCTTTAAATTTAAAGACCTTAAATTGATAGGGTCAGGTCATGGCCTTTTAATTTTAACAAATTAAATGGAACATTTAAATTGTTAAATGGAAGGGAATGCCTTATATTTTTGGATTGCGTGCAAATAGGGTTTGTATTAGGTATGACCTCCCTGACATTTGAAACAGTCCTAGAAGCATGGACACTTAGACCTGATCAGCCTCTGGACAGGTTCATGTGAGGTTTTCCTGTGTAGCTGCAGCCAGCAAATGAGGGTTGACCAAATCAAAGAAGTCAATTGCAGTCAGATAAGGAGAAAAATCTGCTCACAGGAAAGCCTCAACATTGTTTTCTTGAAACCGTGTCATTGTGATCATAGGATAGCATGGGCTTGCATTTGTCACCGCCTCAGGTGCTACACAAAACAGTGAATTTGTCTTGTACGTTTGACACCTGAGTCGTCTTTGAGCTTTTGGATCATGTTCATGCAGGTGGAAATCTAGTTATTCTGCTGATGTGTGAAACTTATTTCTTTCTGGAAAGTCTCATGTGGTAGCCACTGCAGGCTGAAAACAATTAGACAAAGCGATCAGATGGATGTGATGATCCTAGGCTAATGTGATGACCTTATGTCTTCAATGACCCAAGATGTGCCCTGTCCCTCAAAGAGCCAGGTTTCTCTGGATCCATCTGCTCAAAATTGAATCAGAATACCTCATTCCCTAGGCAACTTCTCAAATATTAATCCAGTGATCTTCATTAAACATGCAAGGCATGGTCTTATCTTTTGCTGTTTTGCATTAAATAAAATTATTTCTTTCTAAAAAGCTGTTTATACAGATTCATAATCAAACAATTTTGGCAATTTTAACTCAGCTCTGAAAATGAAACACCTAGCACCTGGCATTTTGACAAAATCCGGTGACCTGAATTCAATATTTTGATATCCTAAGAAAAAAATACTCTTGAACAAATGTATTTGCTCAGTATGTAAAATTTGTAATGTAAATATCATTATGTGTGTGCCTAGTGAGGTTGATTCTTTCGTATTTATTGTACAAACCCAAAAAACTCTGCATCCCCCTAGTACCAGTGCCATGGAACTTTTGAGAAGATAATTTTGTTGTTTTCATTTGTTGTTTTCATTGTCTCTTGATATTTGAATGTATTTACGTAATATAAACAGCTTTTAAATAAGGTATCCGCCTTCGCTTTAATGCCAAATGTCTACAAGAGCCCATTTGAAAATAAAAGATAATAACATGTAATCTTTGCAGATGGTTTGGCAGCTGTTGTGAAGTTTAAAAGCAATGACAATTTGTTTATGTTTTATATTGTGTGAGTGTCAGCTTCCTTCTCTCTGTTGTCTGTCTATTGATTGCCTAGATCTAAGGCCAGAGCTTCTAACTAATCTTTTGTTTCTGGAAACTCAGACAGGGAATGGAAGAAATATCTTAATTAAAATGTTCTGTTGTCAGACAAATGAGTGCATTACTTTCATGATAAACATCAACTTATTTGTCTTGAGAGTATATGAAATGACAGTCTTTTCAATTATATTTAAAAGACATATGCATACTCTGACTTATACAGTATGCACATACCTGTATAATGTATACATTCCCTCATAATTATCAAACCAAAGGTCAAAGAAGAATATAATTGAGATTTATCCATTCTGTTAATCATATTCCTCAGTTCTATATTAGCTTTCATTCGGATAATTCTACAGTATACTGTATGTACTGTATATCTATCTTCTAGTAAATTCCAAATTCATTTGAAAAGGAACTTTGCATTTGTTGACTGTACTGAATCGTTTTATTTTCTTTAGCTCCTTCCATTTTATAGCAATGGAATCTTTGAGCTGTGAATCCAGGCTACAGAGCATAAAGCAATAAAGCTTCATGTCAGTCTGGGGAATGTTTTTGTTTATAATTGATCAGGAAGAGAGTATGCTTACCAATGCTTCATAGATATGGTCCTTTCGTAAAAATAGGTCATTTTTCATGATGTGCACTAAAATCTTTGGATACTAGTTTGATGTCAGCACTTGTTCCCTTCTCCTGAGTTTAGTACCAACAATAGAAAAGATTGTTCTTCCACTATATTAATGTAAATGTATCCACAGCCAGGAAAGAGTGCTGCCTTAGTTGACTTCTATACTTGATAGAAAGTTTATAGTGTGAATGTGGGTCATTGTTCTAATGTGATTAATCTCACCCTTAGGTACACGTTTAAGCTATTTCAGTAAGTGATACCTGATTGAAACTAAAAATTAAACAAAAATAAAAGGATTAAAAGCTATGCTTTTCTTGTACAGAACTTTTTTTGCAATCAGTTTTAGTTGTGAGTCATTAGGTAAGGAAAAAGTAGCATTTTTGTGATGTTATACTGGGCTGTGTGTAATTGTTTCACACTCCATTATGTCTATGCATGATGGTGGTGCATCTCATTATAGACAGGATGCAGCTGTATGCAATGTCATGTGCCTGGAGGAGAAGTAAACAAAGTCATTCAGACTTGTAAAGAACCTTACCAAGCACAGATACGGAGATCATTAGCAGAATGTTGCACTTGTGGACATCCATTATCTGTAGCATGCCACAGTTTTAATAGCTTTCACATTATATCATGAGAATAAGTGAAGTCTGCACCATATTATATTTAGTTCTGCAATTTTGAAACATTACTCCTCGCCATTGAGATCACCTGATAGTCTTCAGTACTTCCCACTTGTCTTTCCTCTTTTCTGTTTTTAAAGACATTGCTCTCTTGCCACTACTCCACAGCAGGTAGCAGTGTGAATTATTGTCAGGGAATCTATAGGTAGAATAGGAGGATCCTTATGCGTGACTGGAATCCCACAGAACGCAGAGTAGCAAAGAGACGATCCAAAAGACGAAATCCAAAGGCTGGGTCGATAAGGGAGGTAAAGGGTTCGGTAATGAGAGATATCCAAAAACAATCCAAAAGGCAAACTCCAGGAGGCAAGGTCGATAAGGGAGGCTAAGAGTCCGGCAATAAGAGATATCCAAAACAATCCAACAGTCAAAATCCAGAAGGTGAGGTCAAGAGGCGGAAGCAGAAGATTCGTAACGGGAGATCAGTGAAAAGGCTTGGTAACGCGCACTGGAGAATACTACGAGAGGCTTCTCAATAGTGAGTGTGGGAAGGTGTGTGCGGGGAGTTTAAATACTGAAAGGAAAGGGGTGTGATTGGATGATTGGTTAGGGAGTGAGAATTTGAGGAATCTGATGAATGTGAGAATGTGGTGGGTTCAATCAGGGATGAGATTGTGAAGCAGAGGTTCCAGGAATGTAACGTCGTTTGCGAAGGAGAGTGTGGGGTGTGACAGGGACAGAACGGCGTTTCCGAGGTAGAGTGTGGAGCGTGACAATAATAGACTTGGTGCTCTTCAGGGTACTGTAGGTCAAAATGTGA